TTATGTCACATCATGTTTTCACTTCAGCACAATCAGAGTTTGTCTATATTTAATCACTTCATCAGTGTTTCCGATGTTCAGAGTAAAAACCTTTCGGGGTGAGGGGCCGGAGGGATAAGTAGATTCTGGATGACGATTATTAATTAACACTATAATTCAGTCTTCAATAAAAACTCGCGTTTTCTAAGATTTTCAAAAGCCTCTGTGTGAATTACAGATTCGTATGGCTCTACCAAACTCAGGGTCTATCTTGGTCAATGACACAGCTATAAGATTTTAAAAATGGTAAATTTCACGTTTTCAGCTATTTACACATGAAATTTCATGGTGGTGTAATTGTAGGGGTCCTCACCCAAACAGGAGTTGTGGGGGGAATTGCAAAGTTATTGTAGGGATATAAGCGGTACTGCTACCCTTAATTTTGTGCTGCTGCTGGCGGCAGTGTTGCTTACAGAGCAGAGCTGCTGGAGAGCAACTCAGAAGTAAAGATGGTACAGTATAGTATTGCCGCCCCCATTTATGCGCTGCTGCCTGCAGAGCTGGGCAACCAGCAACGGTCACCCCGTCACATAAAAAGCCATAAATAGGCCTGCAGGGGTTAAATTTGTATTCCTCTAGGCCAGCCATGAGCCCTGCTGGCGAAAATACCAGGTGTTCTTTATCAGCTGGCCTTCATCAGCCGCAACTCCCTATGCTTGCTAGCTGAGAGCCAAGTACGGGATAAATAACATGACCTCGGTTCTCAGCCTCGTGGGAACACAGAGTGGCATTGGGCCAGTTTGCGAACACTCGGTAAACAGCTAAAGTATAAGATCACTGGGAGTCCCGTGTCCGGTGAGTCTCACCAAGGACCTAGACCTTGGAGGGTGCCCTGGATTCCCCCAGTTGGAGTCACGTACACTGTGGCCTGGTACAAGGTGACAGGAATGGGACTCCCCGCAGACTGAAGGGGTGTAAGCATTTTCAAGTACCTGTTGCTCTCTTACGCATTGCTCTGCAGGTGCTTATTGACGTATTACTTTGCAGTAGCTGTTTAGCCATCTGGCAGTATTAAACCTGTAATAGTAGTGAGGTAGTGAGATTAATAAACCCAACTATCCCTAATCAATTGTCTCAAAGCAAATCCATAATCCAGTTGGGCCATGCCCCTGTGAATTGTCAATCCCTTTCTCTCAGCGAGGAATGTAAAGGGGTACCGGGTTAACCAGTGGTCCAGCCATGTCAGAGCTGCTCCCTGCCTGGGCTGGAGCAGCCCCCTTCCAGCGGTTTGGCAGGCCCAACCTATGCAGCCCCTGTCCGCGATACAGCAGGGTTGGCTCAGCTGGAGCAGGCTGTGGTGTGGCAGGCTCAGCCTGGCTGGACGGTTAACCATAGTGCTTAACCAGTTAACTTTTTAAATAACAATCAACTTCCTTATTGGCTGCCCAGTGCAGAAGTAAGGGTAACAATACCACGCTGGGGCCCCTCGCCTTAAAATAACCTTGCGACTCCCCTGCAACTCTCTTTTGGGTCAGGACTCCCAAGCTAAGAAACTCTGGTTTCCCCATGAAACCTGTGCAGTGTGGGGTAAAAGCACACACGACCAGATTTAATGGGGGAGAGAGACTCCAGATTTCATGGTCTGACACGCATTTTTCATGGCTGTGAATTTGATGGGGCCCTATAGATTTTGTAATCATTTGATTCCTTCATCCTATCCATCCTTCTATATTTAATTGTAAAATCAATTATCGACCTGCGTGCACATAGCAGCTTACATGTGCTGCACATACTGAGCTAACGTATTTCACACTACTGCTTCAAGCCATCCCGTCAGCTTCAAGAAGTAAAAGTGAAGGATACAGATTATCCTCTATGGTAAGAAGCTGGATGACTCAGCAGTCACATGCATTCTGTGCTCCTGATAAAAGATGGTTTGAGGGAGTCGAGATGCCGTATGTTAAACTGCACTCCTCTTTCTTGTGGGAGTATTGAGTCGCTGTGTAGAGCAATGCAAGGAAATGTATTAGGATGAAATTAAAGGGGCTGGGATCTGACAGCTTAGACCTGAAAGAGGAGATGACCCTAAAATCAACCTCTCTCATTCATTTTCATTATCTAATGCGAATGAATTTCCCAAAGCAAGATGTAAAGTAAATTAGATGTCAAAAATTCATTTTGAACACCACAATGTTTTCAAAAATTCATTTTGAAAACAAAAACAAATTTAAGTTAAATGTTGGAGGGAAAAAATTCCTGTCTGGGAAAGATCCTCATCTCTGCACTAGTTCTCTTTATAGTGAATAACAGGGCCAGGACCTTTTGAAGCTGTAAGTACCCCAAATGTGGTGGACAAGACACTACAGTTACCAATCCTGTATCTTCCTGCAAGCCCTGGTGAAGATAGTATGCCAGTAAGGAGGGGTTGAGAGCAGGAGGGGCATATTAAGGAGAAGAGAGAGCATGCAACTGATGATGTGGAAGACTGTGTTGGTAAACAGGTTTCAGTGAATAGCAAATGTATGAATAGGCTAAGATATATTAATTAGTGAATAGAGCGAGAATGCTATTTATTGTCTTGCTTTTTAGTTTGCCAGGAATCGATGGAGGAAATGAGAGCAGCTATATTTATGCATAATTTTCCAGTGGGTTTAAAGCGGAAGAACTTTTTTGTCATAGAGACAGTTGGATCTCTACAGAGAGCACCCTGGCCAGTGACTTCTGTAAGTAAACTTTTAAAAGAGGGAGAGGATGATTTATAATACTGATCAAGATTGCTCTTCCAAGATTTTAGTGTAGAGATGGAAATAATTCACAGCAGTCAAGGGGAGGTTTAAGGATTGCAAACTCATGTTCTCTGCTGTGTCCTGCTAAATTTCACACTGTCCAAAGAACACTACGGCTTTCAGGTTCAAAATTACATAAAAAGATGAAAATTAACCTACCAATAATTAGATGGCGAACTCTGAAATGTGAGCACAGTACTGTTGAATATTCAACATGTTTACAAATGAGAGAGACCAGAAATCCTCCTTCCCCAGGGATTTAAACCTCATTCAGTTCTAATAGTGCCTTTTTTTGGCACAGGTGGCCCCCGACTTGCAACACTTCCTCGGGGAACCAATCTCATCGCAAGTCGGGAACGTCATAACTCGAACCCTCATTTACAATAGGTGCCGGGCTGAGGACATAAGTCAGGGGTTTTTGGCCCCTTCCGCACTTACAAAAATGGTTGTAACTCGGGTGGTCAGAAGTTGGGGGTTTTCTGTACCAATTAAGCAAAACTTGTTCACAGAATTTAATTCACTAGAAACTTTTCTCTGAAAAATATTAGAAGCTGTGAGAGTAACACTACTATTCATGGAAGGGGAAAGGAAATCCTTACATTCACCTGTGCCACTGCAGTTCAATTTATTGAGAGAGGAACGGGACAATTGACATTTAAAAGGGCTTGGGGCTCCCAACCACTGCCAGTGTTACTGCAGCAGCAGCAGCTGGAGCCCTGGGCACTTTAAATCGCCGCCAGAACCCGAGGTGGCACTAAGGGCTGGCAGGGGTGTGGAGGCCCCATGCAATGTGGTCCATGGGCACTAAGAGCTGGCTGTCCTCAGACCCACCCCCTCCATCCAAGGCTCCTCCTCACCTTCTGCAGGGGCCTGGAAATTGTCGGGCCTCCTACACTTAGCTGAACAAAGATCACAATATCCCAACAGCATGGTATGTTGAACTCACTAGCACAAGGCTTAATCTGTAAACTACCCATTGTTGCTTGTAACAATACAACCCTGCTAGCAGATTTCACAAGCTAAGCAAGATTAGGACAGGAAGGAAGACTTTCAAGCAACGCTTAGAAGCAACAGGAAATAGTATTAGTAGTACAGTAGATGGCACTCTTGTGTCTAAGTTAGTACTGAAGCAATACTGGGGTAGGGTGTTAGCAGACACTGTGAAAGATAGCATCTCATACAGCATATCATGGTAAAATCCAGGCTCTGACCTCTTAAGCTCCATGATGGTATCATAGTACTTCTCTCTAGCCTAAAGTATCTGTGTAGATGCCTGTAACCTGGCAAAACTCTAGCTCTGATTATTATGATTGTGAGATGCATTAACAGGAGTGTTTGAGCAAGACAAAAGAAGTCATTCTTCCACTCTACTCTGCGCTGATTAGGCCTCAGTTGGGAGTACTGTCTCCAGTTCTAGGCACCACATTTCAAGAAAGATGTGGAGAAATTGGAGAAGATCCAAAGAAGAGCAACAAAAATGATTAAAGGTGTAGAAAACATGACGTATGAGGGAAGACAGAAAGAAATGGGCTTGTTTGGTTTAGAAAAGAGAAGACCGAGAGGGGACCTGACATCAGTTTTCAAGTATCTAAAAGGGTGTTACAAAGAGGGAGAAAAATTGTTTTCCTAGGAGCTTAAATTGCAGCAAGGGAGGTTTAGGTTGGACATTAGGAAAAACTTCCTAACGGTCAAGGTGGTTAAACACTAAATTGCCTAGGGAGGTTGTGGAAACTCCATCACTGGAGATATTTAAGAGCAGGTTGGATAGACATCTATTAGGGATGATCTAAATGGTGCTTGGTCCTGCCATGAGGGCAGGGGACTGGACTCTATGACCTCTTGAGGTCCCTTCTAGTTCTAGTATTCTATGATTATCACATGTCCCCCTGCCATTTCTATTGGATATAGTGTTCCTCCCTTCCTTTCTTATAATGTGGCTGAACCTTATTAAACATGTTGCACCTTACAATTGCCTACATTTCAGTAGCAGGTAAGGTAATCTCTGTGTGTAAATATAGCCTGCATACTCATTGCTAAAAGTTATAGCAGGAACATTGGACTGAAATACACTACAGAAATGCAAGTGTTATATCTCAGCACATACAACGGAGAGAATTCTATTAAAATGGAAACATTACCCAAAACTCCCATAATGCACAGGAAAAATCAACTGAATTTTGAGCAGGCATTTTGAGACCCGGCTTTCAAACATTCTTGTCAAGAAATGGGACTTACCATGTAAAATATCTGAATCATCTTCCACAAAATCTATATCTCTCAAATCCCATTCAGCATAGTTGTCAAACTCCTGTTCAAAGAAAACCAACAAGTACTCACTACTTAATTCTAGGAACTTGATAACTCAATGGAGCGGACAAGAGAGCTGCAGAATACTGAAAACAGAGTATTACTAAAGACCACTGACTCCACACCCAAAAAAGAATCAAATTAAGTATGGTTTTATGTAACTATCTGCTTATGTAAGAGACATACCAGATGGAAAAACACTAGGGGCATGACTACACTTGCACCCTCTGTCAAGAGAGAGATGCAAATGAAGACATTCAAAACTGCAAATGAAGCTGGGATTTAAATATCCTGCACTTCATTTGTATTTTCACATTATCGAGCTATTTCGAAATAACAGACGCTGTTAAGACGTGGTTATTTTGCGAAAAAACCCTTCTCTCGAAATAACCCTTATTCCTCATACAATGAGGTTTACCAGTTATTCTCTTGAAATAACTGCGTCTTAACAGCATCTGTTATTTCGAAATAGCGCCATAACGTGAATATGGAAATGAAGTGCAGAATATTTAAATCACGGCTTCATTTGCGTCCCTCTCTCGAAAGAGGGTGCAAGTGTAGACAAGCCCTAGGGGAATAATCTACAGTCTCAATAAGACTGACAAATACACAAGCATCCAATTGGAATACAATCTAAATACTAGAATATCATCTACCAGGTAACTTCCATTGCTCCTATTCTGTAGAAAATTCTGCACAAATATTGAAAAATAATAAGCACCAATAGAGGCTGTGCCAACTTATGTTAGGACTGAATATATCCTGGTACATGAATTATGACATTACTGATCATTGCATGTATAGAAGCTTGCTTCATAAGAAGACTTTTTAAACACAGGCCTGATCAAAAGACATTGAAAGCATTGGTAGCCTTTTAGTGAACTTCAATTAGCTTTGAATTAGGCCCGTATATATTTTTTTCTGGGGAAAGTAAGCTAAAAATAAGCTGTCCCCTTTTGTTGAGCATCTCATTTACACATCTCGCCTTTTTGCATAAGAGTCATTCATTATCAGACTTATGGCAATGGCATCCATTGCTTATTCATAAAACCACAGGTAGCTGCTTCTCAGGCCCATTAGTGTACCTCTTTGATTATAAATGGAACCTCTAGGGCAGGAGTGGGTAATAATTTTTTGCAGAGGGCCACTTTGGAAATTTTTGAAGTGGCTAGAGTTGCCAGGTGTCTAGTATTGACCCGGACAGCCGGGCATTTTCACTTCCTATCCGGTTAAAAAAAAAAAATCAGAAAATACCAGATACCTAAAATGTCCAGTATTTTCTGATTTTTCTACCCCCACCCCCTACAGGAGAAGAAAATACCAGACACCTGGCAACCCTACCACACACAGCAACCGGGTTATATCATCTAGTCCCCTCATTTCCCCATAGATAGGGTGAGTAAGAGTGAGTGTGTATGTGTCTCTAGTCAATAGCAACAACAACATAAAACGAGACTACCTCAATAAACATTTTCTCCTTTTTTTTCCCCTTCTCTTTCCCCCACCTTTTTTTCTGCTATTTATATGGAAACTGGACCCCTTAATTCCATTCATCTGAAGTGGTGGGTTGTGCCTGTGAAAGCTCATGGTACCATCTACATGTTTTGTTAGTCTTTAAGTACTGCAAGGCTATTTGTTATTTTTTAAGTTTTTTCAGTTACAGACTAACATGGTTGCCCCTCTGAAACTTACCTCAATAAAGTCAGCTCTAGCTGGCATGTACCCAGCCATGTCCCTGGAGAGCAAGGAATCAAAGGTAGGCCGTGGAGGATCATCGGCAGCTAGAAAAATATGGGTATTAGTTGCTGTGGGTTTGTCAAGTTGACATGTAAATGCAAAACAGACTGTAGTTCTAGAAAAGGGTATTCCCTTTGCTGATGCAGGAGGAATTAGTTTAGCTAAGACAGCCTTATTATTTTGTAATTAGGATAAGTAAAGTGCTAAGTCCATTGGGGTATGGCAAGGTAGACTCCATTCCTCAGAGAATCCTCTGCCTCTCCAGTTGACCAGGAACATTTTTTAGGTGGGGAAGCTGTCACCTGGGGTTTAGTATCAGGTAAATTCATTCCCTCAGTCTCCCACAAAGCACCTAATGGAAGGAATGCACCACATTTTATGTACCAAAAGGCTTGGTCTGATATATGGAAAATTCTATTAAATATTTTCCTTAGTGATCCACAGACCAAATATTACTGTCCTTTTTGAGTAAAACAAAGTACACCTCCTTCTCCAAGATTCAATCAGTTTCTAAGATAAAACTTTCAGATAATTATGCAAAGAAAGTCAGTGCCCATCTCTATGGTGGGTACTTACAGTGGAACGGAATGGCCGAATCAGCGTTTTGTGCCTCTTCTACCTGTTTCAAGTTCAGCAACGTAGATGCAAACAAGGGATTGTTGATGAAGTGTTTCATATAATGTTTCTCACACTCCTCCTTTGCTTTTGTGCACATCTGATTGGCTACGTCCTGCCTAAGGGGTGGGAAAAATCCCATAGAAATTGGCAGATTTTTTCACTAACAGAAGAAAGAATCATTTTAAAGAGAGTTTAGCATGTTTAGCCTAGCCAAGTGAAGGCTGAGAGGGAATAGGATTTCTCCCAAGATGTAATTCTATAAAGTAAACAGCAGGGACCTTAGCAGAGGGGACAGGGCTGTAGGTGGGGCTGGGGACCTGCCTCCTCCAGCCCCAGCTGTACCAACTGCCCATGTTTAAAAGTCTTTAATACAATATAGCAACTGGAAAAAAGCATCAGCACCATGTGACCTGCCAGCTCTCAGCAGACCACATAAGCCTACGGATCATCAGTGGGCCACAGGTCACAGTTTGAGAACCTTTGTCATAAGGCAGTTTACTCGTCTATAAAACAATTACAGTAAACTTCCGATAATCCGGCACCTTTAGGACCCAGGGGGTGCCAGATTATCAGATATGCCGGACTAGCGGAAGGGGGGGCTATGAGGGGGGGGATGCCACCCCAGACCCCTCATAGCCCCCCCTTCCGATAGTCCGGCTCTGCCCCAGGCGACCCTGATTCAGCCGCTGCTGGTCAGTTTCAGCAGCGGCTGAATCGGGGACGCCTGCAGCAGAGCAGCTGGAGGGCTGCCTGGTTGGTCCGGTAGCGCTGACCCTTGGCGCAGCGAGACCAAGCCGGCAGCATTCCAGCTGCTCTTGGGGACGCCTGGGGCAGAGCAGCTGGGGTGCTGCTGGGTAGGTCCCGTAGCGCTGCCCCTCGGGGCTGCGGGACCACCCCGACAGCCCCCCAGCTGTCCCCGGTTCAGCCGCTGCTGAAACTGACCAGCGGCTGACTCCAGGAAGCCCGGGGCAGAGCAGCTCTGCCTCGGGGTTCCTGGAGTCAGCCGTTGGCCAGTTTCAGCAGCGGCTGAATCGGGGACACCTGGGGCAGAGAAGCTGGGGTGCTGCCGGGTTGGTCCCACAGCGCCACTCCTCGGCACTACTGGACCAACCCGGCAGCACCCCAGCTGCTCTGCCCCCGGCTTCCGCGATTCAGCCGCTGGTCAGTTTTAGCAGCGGTTGAATTGGAGAAGCTGGGGGCAGAGCAGCTCCAATGGTCCGGCTGCCCAGAGCACTTCCGGGTTCCTGATGGTGCCGGACCATCAGGAGTACCAGACCATCAGATGCCGGACCATTGGAGTTTTACTGTATATGTAAACTGAGGCAGAGTGACATTAAAGGCCTGATCATGCTAGATGTTGAGCTTCCTCCAAATTCTAATGACTTCAGTGAGAGTTGAGGGAGTTCTACACTGCATAGGAGGTGCTTGGCATCTCTCAGGATTAGGCTTTCAGTGTATTCCTCAATGTCAGTGGTAGAGCTGGGAATGGACCCCTGATTTTTTTCAATCCTCCACTGTGAAAGTATGTATATCTACACTGCATTCCTCTTTCGAGAGAAGAATGCAAATGCAGCCGAGCAAAATTGCAAATGAAGCGCGGATTTGAATTTCCTGCACTTCATTTGCATAATCGCGTCCAGATCCTATTTTGAGATTAAAAAATGCCGTGCAGACGCAGTTATTTTGAAAGAAACCCCTTCTTTCGAAATAACCCTTACTCCTTAAAAAATGAGGTTTAACGGTTATTTCGAAAGAAGGGCTTTCTTTCAAAATAACTGCGTCTACATGGCGTTTTTTATCTCGAAATAGGGTATTTTGAAATAGCGGCCGGATGCGATTATGCAACTGAAACGCGGGAAATTCAAATCCACGCTTCATTTGCAATTTCACTCGGCTGCATTTGCATTCCTCTCTCGAAAGAGGAATGCAGTGTAGACATACCCTTAACTGCTTGATTGGACTCTCACTCATGAACAACATGCTGTGTTGTGTGCTGGAATATTCAGCTTGCAGATCCTAACCCAAAGCTCACCAAAGTCAATGAAAATAACTTGATTTGGTTTGGTTTAAGCACTAAGTTCTCACCAGTTTCCAAATCCACAATCCATCACTGCTTCTAGAAGTGCCATTTCCTCCTGAGCTGTCCAGCTGGGATCCAGGACAGGAAAATCAGATGTCTGGAGAGGGGGAAAAAAAAAAAAGAACAAATCTCAGGGGCCCTCTTTGTATAGATCACCACCTCTGATAAGTCCCATATCTTGTCACCACCTGCAGAATCAAAGAAATTCTGGCACTACCTGGCAGTTAGAGCTCAAGTTGCTTTGGTACTGGCCATTTAAGAGCTTCACTTTGTCCCAGGGCAGCTTATGTCAATACGCCATCTACCATAACTATTCCTACTTTGTGAAACTATCATAGAAGTTCTAAATACAGCAACATTTAATGTATTTACCACCTGTAATTAAAAAAAAAGTGCAATGAAATGTTTATTTTTAAAGAAGATTATTTAAACTTTTTTGCTGGGGATAGGAGGAAAAAGCAATTTGTCTATATAGCATAACTGTCTACCAATTTTTCTTATCTCCAGGGGGTAGCTGATTTAGTCTGTACAGGATAAATTTAAAAAACAAAAACTGGTTTGGTAGCACTTTATAGATTAACAAAACATGTAGATGGTATCATGAGCTTTCGTGGGCACAGCCCACTTCTTCAGATGACCAGATTTTTGAGTTCAGGATGTGCAGACCCAAAATAAATAGGGGAGAAGGGGAAAGAAAAAAAAAGGAGGGAGGGGGTAGGAAACAAGGAGCAGAGGTTATGATGACAGACTTTGAGCCATACATGGACAATAAAAATTACCGTGTTTTAGCGCATATAACCTGCGGGTTATACAAAGTTTTACACACCCCGCAGCCCCCCGTGGGGTATACATGTCCACGGGGTATACAAGTTTATTTTTACTTGCCTAGGTGTGTAGTGCAGCTCCCCTCCTGCAGGCCGGCCAGCTCACCTGCGCTGCGCTCTCAATTCCCCACTCCCGGAGGAGGGTGGCTTGCACCAGGCTGCGACTGTGCAGAGGCTGGTGGCGAGTGTGGCTCCCCTCCTGCAGGTGGCCAGCTCGCCTGCGCTGTGCTCTCGGTTCCCCCGTCCTGGAAAAGGGTGGGCTGCGCCTGGCTGTGACTGCGCGGTTCCCCTCCTGCAGGCCGGCCAGCTCGCCTGCGCTATGCTCTCCGTCCCGTGCCATCCGCCCCCGCTCCCCGCCCCGGAGGATGCAGCTGGTATGTGCAATTACCAGGTACCTTAAAGTAGTGTATATAGCCCACGGGCTATACATGTGCATGGGTTATCTAAGACTTTTTTTTACACATTTAGGAAAAACCGTGGGTTATACACGAGTGCGGGTTATATACACTAATTCATGGGTAAATAAAAGCCTCTGCATCATTCCACAGTATTACATATGGTTATTTTTTCTTTAATTTCAGTAAGAACCTCAGAGCTGCCAAACTGGTCACACCGTGCTCCATCTTGCCCCATATCTTGTCAGCAGACAGTACCAGAACTTAAGGGGGGCAGTATACAGAGCCACCTGTCTTCCACCCCTAGTTTCTGGTATTTAGAGGTTTTTAAGGGAGCCATCACTGGATTTCATCTTGACCCTCTTGGCTAATGGCCACAGATGGACCTATTCTTCATGAACTAATCCAGATCTACTATCTAGTTATACTTTTGGCTTTCACAACAGAACCCATGGCAATGAGTTCTACAGGTTAGTTGTGGGTTGTGTTAAATAAGTATTTCCTGTTGTTTCTGTGAAGCCTGCTGCCTATTAATTGCATTGGGTAACCCTACACTTACAAAAAATATAAAATCTGCTGCTGGGTTAGTTTTCTAACATAAAATTCTGAAAACAAGGTTGTGTATCTAGCAGACTTTTAATGTGAAATTAGTAAACATGGGTCTAACTTTTAGAAAATAACAAAACCCAAGATTAAGAAAGATAATTTTAATTGTATATTTACCATAATTTCATAGGTGTGATCACTCTGGTGTTTCTTATACTGAAATCCTCGTGTGAAACACTGCAAAATAAGATTAAAACCATGTTACTTTCGTGCTTCTTCCTTTAATACATTTTATTTTTATTAAAAACAAGGAGTCCTGTGGCACCTTAAAGACTAACAGATTTATTTCAGGGGTTTTTGCTGATGAAAACTTATGCCCAAATAAAACTGTTAGGCTATGTCTACACTCACGGCTTCTTGCGCAAGAACATCTTGCACAAGTGTTCTTGTACAAGAAGTCTTGTTCAAGAAAACGTCCACACTCCCAAGTGCGCGCTGTGCTTTTGTGCAAGAGCTCCCATGGCAGTGTGGACGCTCTCTTGCGCAAGAAAGCTCCGACGGCCATTTTAGCCATAGGGTTTTCTTGCGCAAGAAAGCTCCGACGGCCATTTTAGCCATAGGGTTTTCTTGCGCAAGAAAGCTCCGACGGCCATTTTAGCCATAGGGCTTTCTTGCGCAAGAGAGCGTCCACACTGCCATGGGAGCTCTTGCACAAAAGCACAGCGCGCACTTGGGAGTGTGGACGTTTTCTTGAACAAGACTTCTTGTACAAGAACACTTGTGCAAGATGTTCTTGCGCAAGAAGCCGTGAGTGTAGACATAGCCAAAGTCTTTAAGGTGCCACAGAACTCCTTGTTTTTGCAGCTACTGACTGAACACAACTATCCCTCTGATACTTCTTATTGTGCTCTAGTTAACAAAAATTATCGACTTTATAAATGAAATTGGATTTGAATAATGATTTTGTCCCCCTCAGCGCACACAACCCCCAATTTAAGTGAATCTGTTGTTGGACTTTTTTCACAGTGGATCATTCCAGAGGACAGAGCACAGACATTTATATGTAAGAATATCTTAGAAGAATAAAATTTCCCTTTAGTTAAGGAAGAAATATCTTGTCACCTATCTTTCCCTGTTTAATACTACACTGAAGATGGTTCACAGCTATGTACTGCAATTTAAAGGGAATTCTGCTTAGGTAAGTCATGAGGCACGCTAAGTGCAAAGAAAAAATATAGTCTAGCTGTTGACCACTGGATCATGTCTCTTCTCTGCATCGATGGGTGCCTAACCAAATATTTCTTTCACCTGCTCATGCTGAATTCCACCATTCTTCCATCCTCCCACATTTTCTCTTCCATTTCTCTGTCGGAGCGAGTATTTGTCAGATGAGCATGAGTTGATATGAGGTTAGTAATTAAAAGGTGCTCTGCAATGATTTATCATTTAGAAATAGCTCTGATGACCTGCTTCTCAACATGACATACGCTTCCACTTTTACACTCCGCTTACCTGCAAACACAGGAGAAAGGGAGGAGGCCCACACTCTGCACATTTGATGTAAGGTTCCATGAGGTAGGAAGAGCAGCCTCGGCAAGGGGGCTTATCAAAAGGGTCATCTACGAAGTCAACAAGAAAATAAATCGAAGGAAATGCAATACAACACAAGCATGTTACTATTATTAATATTTACACCATCCTCCATTACCACTAGAACCTTGCATTTTTTAAACAGAGTTAGCAGTGTCTCTCATAGCCTGTATCTTCATGTCAACTGATATTTTTAAAAATAAACTATTACATGCTACAGCTGAAGTAACCCTATCTCCTCGAATGCAGTGTCAGTTTCCTCAAGTATTTGTGGGATATTGTCCTGCTGCTGGAGAAATCCTTACATGGACACCTTCCCAGAGATGGTGAAATTACAGATCATCACTTGGACTGGATACTGTGATGTGATGAGCATCTTTAAATGCATGTAATGAAAAGTCTATCCTCTTGACATCTATGGATACTATCCTGCAGAAATGTAAGCCGCATGGACTGGAAGACCAAAGAGATCCTTTTTAATTCTAGTATCTATGGTTTTCAGAGAGAGCTTTGTTAGTCTGTTTCAGCAAAAACAACAAGAAGTCCAGAGGGAGATCTTAAAGGCTAACAATTTTAGTATGACATATATGCAACTCACGAAAGCTTATGCAAGACTAAAACTGTTAATCTTTAAGGTGCCACCGGATTCCTTGTTTCTACAGGTCTAAACTCTCTAAACTGGGACTCTCTGGTCTGGCAACATCCGTGGAACCCCAGTGGCCCAGGAGCCACAGCAGTGGCGGCTGCCCAGCGGTGCTGACAAGGCAGTGGGGCTGGCAGCAGATGGAGAGCTGCCTGGGAAGCCAGACTAGGGCTGAAGGTGGGGGGCACCCAGAAATGACCTTCCCTGGTCCAGCAAAATCCCTTATCCAGCAGTGGTCAGGTCCCGAGGGTGTCGGACCAGGGAGGTCCAACCTGTAGTATTTATGAGTCAGTGCTTTTAAAAGCTGGCTGAATCACACACCAGGAGACCAAAGTAATATATTTATTGAGGGAGACTGCACAGCAGAGGTAGTAGCATTTGTTTGCCCCCAAAATAATCTAAAATGATAGTCTGTCAGGGTGAGAAAGGTGGTCTGTTTCCATAACCATCTTAGGACACTCCAGAGGCTGATGACCAATCTAAGGTTGTCAAGAAAGGCATAAAAGCTGTGTAGTGGTGTGTGGGTTTGTTGGGTTTTTTTTGGGGGGGTGACAGATTTATTCAGTTGGGTATGTATATTTTATTTAAAACTTTATATTAAATAAGCAATTGGGACATTAATTTGTTTGTTCAACTAGACTATTTTCATTACCAATCGTCTGAGTCACTTAGTGCTCCCATCAAATTCTTATGACAATTCAGGGGCCAAAACAATCACATGGATCAAAATGCCCTAGTTCCCAGCAACCCTCATTGAAAGATAAAGCCTTCAAACTAGGCCCAGATCCACACTGGCAGAGAAAAACTGATGCAAGGTACACAACTCCAGCTACGTGAATTGTGTAACTGGAGTTGACGTCCCTTACATTGATTTTTCTGGGGAGACCACACAGTGGGAGGTCAACAGGAGAAAAACTCCAATTGACTTACCTTACTCCTCGTGAGGAGTAGGAGTACCTGAAGGTGCCCTCAGCATTCAATTTAGTGTGTCTTTACTAGACCTGCTAAATTGAACTCCAGAAGATCGATTGACAGAGCATAGATCTTTCAGAAAGTGGAGACATACCTAGGACAGAGGTTTTTAGACCTCTCTGTGAAGTTCTGGTTATGGTACTTACTGCTGAAGGAGGCCAGGCGCTCCATCCTCCTCACACTCTGGTGTTCTTCTTCAGGACAGCAATATAAGCACCTCTCCTTGTACAAGGCTCCTCAGTATAAGATCAACAATTACCAATGTATCTATCAAGGTACCATCCAACTGAAAGAGAGTAGGCTGTTGTGCAACCCTTTGAACAGATAAGCTCTTCTGAGACTACACCAACTACTCATGCAAATGAGCGGTCATAATGCAACAGGGACCATTTGACATGACTGAAAGTCTGTTCTCTGCAGTTGAGACACGAAACCAAAAACCGAAAGACACAATTCATAGTATTAAGAAATCTGGAACTCCAGGATCATAACTTATCTGAATAAAAGATTGATGTGACCCCCAAAAAAGTGGTGATTGTCAAGTAACTGTATCATCATGAATCTTGAAAACTTTGTTACAAGATGTTCTTCATTAGCTCTGCAGAACCATGAGCTGTGCCTTTATGATTTTATATATTTGTCAGAGGCAGATTTGGACTCTTCCTTACTGCTTAATTTGATTAATAAAAGGGTCACTGCAGCCCTGAGAAGAGAGAACATTTCCTTTAGTAACATGCCCATCACAGCTAAGATAGTGGACTTTATAGAACCGATAACTGCTTTTGAGAGTTGTGAGTTGGCTGGCTGTATATTCTCCCCTTCTCATGCAACAGTCCCAGGGCAACTATATTCCTGTCAAAAAAGAAAATAAGTAATTTAATTCAAGGATCCAAGTGCTTTACAAACATTAAATGGTGCACCCACAAGGAATTATTTTAGAGAGGTAAGTAGCAGCTCCAATTTATTGATAAGGAAACTAAGAACAAGGAGGAGAAGTAACTTGCTCAAGATCACAGAGCAAACCAGTTATAAACCTCAGAGCAGAGCCCAGAGTCCTGATGCAGATCTGAAATGTGATCCAAAGACTACAGCAAAGTTTCCAGCAGGAAGCAGGACAGCAGTAAAACTCAGACCTCCCCAGAGTAAGATAGAATTTTGTTAGAAACTTGTTACTTGAATCTATTTTAATCAAAATTGATTCCCACCCAAGATCCTTTAATACAGTGGTCCCCAACACGGTGCCCGTGGGCGCCATGACGCCCGCTGGGGCATTTGTGTGCGCCCGCCGACAACCTGGGCCGGCCCCGCCCGCGGCGCACAGGAGGCGCCGGCCCCGGGCGC